ACAAATTTTATCTTCCCTGAAGGCAGAATACTCTTTCCTGCTAGGGCAAACAAAATAAAATATTTAGCCAAATAATTTTCATTTGGGCTGCCTCTATGTGAGATTCGTATGTAAGAAAATTCTGGCTCCAGAGTGGACCTGATTAGCTCATCACTTTGAACTTGTAATTTCCAGATGCTGCCTATGAGTTTGATATCTGCTTCACCTCAGTGCAGAAGAGAGCAATTCGGACGCTCTGGACAGTGCTGGATGCCATTGACCAAATGTGGCTGCCAGTGGTGAGGACTTGGCGCCTTAATGAGCGCCACTACGGGGGTCTGACTGGCCTCAATAAAGCAGAAACTGCTGCCAAGCACGGTGAGGCCCAGGTAAAGATCTGGAGGCGCTCCTATGATGTCCCGCCACCTCCAATGGAGCCTGACCATCCCTTCTACAGCAACATCAGTAAGGTATGGGCACACGGAGATTTTGCTCTCTCCACAGGACTGAGGGATCAGAATCTGGGCTTCACTTTTAGCTTTGTTAGTGTCTGTCTAGACACTAGACACTCTCTTAGCTTTTACTAGTGTCTGCCCACTGAGTTTCTAATTTACAATAAAATAGTTAATTGTAATCCCCCTTCTCCAAGGAATGACTTTCACTTGTCAAAAACAATTAATATTTATGTGGTTTATCAGAAAAGAATTTTTATCTTTTTTTACATCTATTGCCCTATTTTATAAAACCCACCTATAGCCGATTGGGCTGTCCTGAGCCAATTGCAAGATAAAAGTGAATTGGGAAGAACCTTGTAGTCTACCTTTTTATTTTTCCTTTTCTAAGTTATGTTTCTTTTGAACTGTCAGTTTTCCCAGTAGAGGGTAATTGGGGAGGAAGGGGCAGGATAATAATTATCCCTTTTCTCAAGCTCTCAGTGCCCTGCTGAGAGACCTTCATCCATCACTTTGATCCCTTAGGGGATGAGGAATAGGCAGAACAGATGCAACCGCTAATAACTGGCGAGCTTGGATTTTTTGTTGTTTAGGATCGCAGATATGCAGACCTCACTGAAGATCAGCTACCCTCCTGTGAGAGTCTGAAGGACACTATTGCCAGGGCTCTGCCCTTTTGGAATGAAGAAATTGTTCCCCAGATCAAGGAGGGGAAACGGGTACTGATTGCAGCCCATGGCAACAGCCTTCGGGGCATTGTCAAGCATCTGGAGGGTATGTACATTTTTTCAGAGGGGCCCTCAAAGAAGGATAAAGCAGAACTGCCACCAATCTGGGACTTATTTAGTATGAAGGAGACCTTCAGGAAAGGGCTGGACATATTGATAGCCTTAGAGACAGTCCAGATTGACTCCTGGTGGAAATACACCCTCTGTCCTTGTTTCTCAAAGCATCATTTGCAGAAGCACAGGTGGCCAGACCCTAATGGTTGCTTGCTACACATGCAGAACTTCACATCCCACTTAAGCTGCATCTATCACTCAGGTGATTCAGATGCACATGAAAATTTGAGATGCCCACCTCCAGACTAGGATTGCCAGTTGAAACTGGTGATAAAATCCTCCTTAGTCACAACCCTGTACAACTTTATACTCAATTTGCATCTTAAATTATTTCACCTGATGGCCTAGCAGCCCAGATGTGCTGACTTTTGGCAGGCTGGATGGACTACAGAGGATATCTGAGACATGTATAGTCCTGCCTCACTGGGGGCTTCCACATCCCATTTTGGGAGAGACATCTGTGCTACACACCTTTCATCCTTTTTTCTTGCTTTTCAGTGGCTGAGAAATAAGTATTGGGGGCATTCCCTGGGTCATGGATCTTCTAAAACACAGATCATTACTGTTATCACAAATATCAGAAAGGGTGTCTCTGTTGTAATTCCTACCAAAGCCTTTTGTCACCTGGAGGGTGAATAGTAAGCCTGGGAGGGGGTCTGTGGACTCTTATCTTGCTTGACTGATCATGGTGGGTGTATTTTCAGGTCTCTCTGAAGAGGCTATCATGGAGTTGAACCTGCCAACTGGCATTCCCATTGTCTATGAACTAGACAAGAACTTGAAGCCTATCAAGCCCATGCAGTTCCTGGGGGATGAAGAGACCGTGCGTAAAGCCATGGAGGCTGTGGCTGCCCAGGGCAAAGCCAAGAAGTGAGGGCGAGCAGCAGATTACTTTCCCAAGGACCCTCCATCCCTCACCCCGCCACCAGCCCATCCCATTCCTCTGCACCTCTCCCCTGCACATGTCACACTGACCACATCTGTAGGCATCTCAAGTTGTAGTTGCAGATGGGGACTGGTGGCTCCCAATTTCGTTTTAGCCATTTTGTCTCTTGCACCCACTCCCTTTATACAGTCTAGTCAGAATGGCACCGCTGGGGCATGTCCTCAGTCCAAGCCGAGGGAAGACTATCCACGAGCGCTGAGAGGTAGTAACTGGGGGTTTTACTAGTGCTATGTTTATTACTAAGGACCTGCTTGAGTAGGGGATAGGGAGGAACCATGCTAAGGTATGACCACCAAGGAGAAGCAGGAGAGCCTGTTTGTGTTCCCGGGAGCCAGCTGGCACTGTTCTATTCAGGTGACTGAGGGCTCTAGTCATTCCAGTGGAAGATGAAATATAACCTGCGTGGTGATTCAAACATTTCCTCCCTGACTCGACGATTGGGATCAATCCTAAATGTTTGTGTTACATTTACTTTTACAAAAAAAATTTTATATATATATATATATATATAAATTAAAAAACCCCTTGTGGGGTTTCTAGTAGCGGTTGAAATATTCCCACATGTGGTCATCAGAAAATAAGTCATTCCTTATGCCATCGTGGGGTAAGCTCCTTGACTTCTAAGGTGTAGGAGTTCATCCTGTGTGTTTTAGGACCCCTCCCCTGCCTTACTGTTTTCTGGCAGTGGTATGCCTCTTGCTCATGTCCAAGTGTGTCCTCCACTGTGCCTGATTTCTGAATCATGTTCCAGTTGCTTGGCCCACCACTGGGGCCCAGAACTCACTTGAGCATGAGTATACTAAATCTTTTTTCCAGATCAGTATAATAAAGGAGTGATGTGCAATATTTTCTGCGTGATGTGTGGTATGTCTTGTCTGAGGAATTCAGCTTGAACATTCAGCTTGAAACCTCTCATTACCTAAGTCCTTGTATGACACATGAAGAGATTTAGGACAACCAGTCACAACTTCATACAGCCTGGTCCAAATACTGTGTGTCTCATTGGGTTTTCCACCTCAGGCTGGAGAGCTGAATTCTCCATTCCTGTTGTCTCTCTGTAGCTCTTGCTCAGTGGTGTTGGTTACTGAACCCTGGAAAATCAAATTCTAAAACTCCATTATGCCCTTTTTAGAGTAAGGTAAAGATTTGTTTCTTGGACTTAAAAAAGCCAATCCTTTTAGTAACTTGTAAACTTGATACACCTTTCTTTTTGGCTCCTAAAGTTTTAACCCTGTCAGTCAACTCATTAACACATTCAAAAATTACACATGCAGAAGAGTATACAGTCATCCCTTAGTATCTGCAAGGCAGGGGATTGGTCCCAGGACCCCTGTGGATACCAAAAATCCAGATGCTCAGGTGTCTTATACAAAATGGTATAGTGCAGTTGGCCCTCCATATTCATGGGTTCCACATCCGTGAACAGGGAGAACCGACTGTAATTATATACATAATTGGGAAGGGGCACTGCTCACATTTACCTTCTGAGGACTTTTGAAAAGGTCACTGGAACGTGAGAACACCCATAATGCCTTTCTCTTCTAGTAGAAGCAAGTAACACCTTCCATGTATTAAGCTCTTACGAAGTGCCTCTGTGCTAGCCATTGGGTGAGGCACATTACATATATAATCTTTAATCTTGGCAACTTCTGAAAGGGCTGGTACCCCCAGTTTACAGAAGAGGAAACAAGCCAAAAAAGATACAGAAACTTGTCAGAAGGTACACCACTAAGTACTGGAACCCAGACGAATGTTACTTCAACTAAACCAAAGTCCTTACTCTAAAATTTAATTACTTCTAAGCATCTTGCTTTTAAGTTTTGTTTTTTATTTCATCTATACCCTAGGAAGACCTTTAGTAATATGTCTCCAAATAGCTTCATGGGATGTTAGTTTACTTAGCCTGTATTGAATCTTAGACCAAAAGTTGGTAATTTTGTTTGATCAAGTGCTCTTCACCCAAGTCAGACCGGATTAGCTTGGATTAATGTTATCCTATGTCCGGATACCACTTGAGTTTACAGCAGTCTCCA